CCCCCACCCCCACCCCCGCTGGCGGCCTGCCCCACTGTCTGGCGGGGCTCCAGGGGAGGGCTTCTCCAGGTCGACTTTGTGCTCCCCGCCCCACCTTCAGTGACACCCCTCCTCCCGTTCATCCCCCTGCCTCCCGGGGGGAGCAGAGAATCCTGCTCCTGGGCGCACTGGCAGGGCAGGATACGAGGGGTTCACTGTCCCCCCTCCCCGTTTCCCAGAGGCTGGGGGCCCAGCCAGGGCCCTGGTGGCCCCCTCGGTGATTGTTCGTGAAGGTTACCTGCTGAAGCGCGAGGAGCCCACCAGCCTGGCCCCACGCTTTGCCTTCAAGAAGCGTTACTTCTGGCTCAGCGGGGAGACTCTCTCCTACTCCAGGAGTCCTGAGTGGCAGGTGGGGCCCCAGCCCACAGTGGAGGGGTCTTTGTAGGCAGGGGGAAACTGAGGCCCAGGAAGGGGGCAAAGACTTAGCAGGTCAAGCTCTCAGGCCAGGCTCTGCTCACGCCTTTGGGCCAGCGTGGGCCCAGGACAGGCACAGGCCTGTACCTGCACACGCTCCCCATCAGACGCGGACACGCACGGGACACGGACCACGCTTAACCGCCCTGAGATGTTCCCGCCCAGAGGCACATGCCTGGCCGTGTAGGCACGCACGGGCCGACATTCGTTCACTCGGCCACTCATCAAACACTTGCTGAGCGCCTGCTGTATACCACACAGCGTTCCAGGCACTGAAGTACAGCAGTACACAAGGCCCAACGTCCCTGGTCTCACGGGGTTGCCATTCAAGTCCAGCACCAGCTCGAGCCCGTGCTGGGACGCGTTTCTTGTCCGCACGCCCATAAATGATGGCGAACGCTGGAGAGGGTGCGCAAGCGTGTCCTTCCTACTTTGTCCGCAAAGCATGGATTCCAGAGTTCAAATGCCTGGTTCCCAATTCTGCCTCCACTGGCTGAGTGGCCTCAGGAGGGCCAAGTGACCTCATCTGCACACAGGCTCAGCCTCAGACATTGGTGGCAGTTGACAGGCTGGAGTGCGGGAGGCACGCCCCAGCTGCTGTGCGGGTGGTTGCTCTGATGTCTGGTGATGATGGGAACTGATGCCCGGCGAGGTGGTGGCTTACCTAGAGAGTGATGCGGCAGGGCTGGGGGGGACTCGCGGCACAAGAGCGCGGACACACACGCACAGATCGCAGATCACAGAGATGCAGGCTTGAGCGTCCCCCCCCCTCCCCGTCCCCGTCCCCATTCCCTGATGCACGCCCCCAAAGGAAAGCTGCCCCTGGGCCCACCGCACCCCGGCCCACCCTGCAGCCACAGCCCTGTCTCCCAGATGCGCTTCTCCATCCCGGTGTCGCACATCCGCGCCGTGGAGCGCGTGGACGAGGGCGCCTTTCAGCTGCCGCACGTGATGCAGGTGATGGCGCAGGACGGCGCCGGGGCACTGCGGACCACCTACCTCCAGTGCAAGGTGAGGCACCGCAAGGATGGGGACGGAGGGCGTCCCTTGGGTCCCCCTGCACCCCTGACCGCCCCCCCCGCCGCCCCGACTCCCTGCAGAATGTGAACGAGCTCAACCAGTGGCTGTCGGCCCTGCGCAAGGCCAGCGCCCCCAACCCGGACAAGCTGGCCGCCTGCCACCCGGGTGCCTTCCGCAGCTCGCGCTGGACCTGCTGCCTGCAGGCCGAGCGCTCAGGTGAGGGGGCGGGGCGGGGTCAGGTTCCGCCCTCCCCAGCTGTCAATCAGCGGGTGCCCCGCCCCCCCCACGGCGGGTTACTTAACCTTTCTGTGCGCCTCGCTCTCCTCCAGCGGGGAACAGTGCCTGCCTCCTAGGGTTGTTGTGCGGACTGAGTGTGTGTTCTCAGCACTTAGAACGCCGACCGGCACGTAGGGCGCATGGCGTGTGAGAGATTTTGTAAAGCACCTTCTATGGGCCCAGATCCGGTGGTCGAGGCTCGCTCTCAATGAAGACCGGTGGATAACCAGACAAGTGTCCCACGGTCTTATAAGTACCAAAATGAGGCTTTTGAGGCTCCAGAGACTGCCTCTGAGCCGGCCGCAGGGTTGGAGATCAAGGAGGGCTTCCTGGAGGAGGTGCTGTTGAGACATGACCTGAGAAGAGTAGGCGATAAGCAGTGAGGGTGGAGAGACTGGGATGGGGCCAGGAAGGGTCGTAGGCAGAGTAAAGCGCCTGAGCAAAGGCCTGGAGGGGGCGCGGGGAGGGCTGAAGGGTCGAGAAGGGCCTGTGTGGCTGGAGCCGGGCCTGCGGGAGGAGGCTGGAGGGAGGGGACGCTCCTGCTCTGCTGAGCCAGGGCGGTGGGGGGGCGGGGGGGGGAGGCAGTGGGGCTTGAAGGCAGTAGGAGGCGGGAAGAGTGATTTTAGACGCAGAAGGGTCTGCGCTTGGCGACCCTCTGCCACGGGGGCTCCCGGAGGGGCGGCGGGAGGCAGTGCTGACGGCACCGTGTTCCCCTCAGCTGCCGGCTGCAGCCGCACGCACTCGGCCGTCACCCTGGGGGACTGGAGTGACCCGCTGGATCCCGACGCTGAGATCCAGATGGTGTACCGGCAGCTGCTCCTGGGGCGGGACCAGCTCAGGTGGGCGCCCCCACCCATTCCGCTTCCCCCGCGGTGACCAGCCAGGCCAGCTCCGCGCCCCACCCCCCCCCCCAACCCTCCCACAGCCTCCCCGGCTCATTTATTCATTCTTTCCCTGTGCATCAGCTGACTTCCTGGCCGGGCAGGGTGTGCGGGCCCCAGGCGAGGCGGGGAGGCGTCCTCAGGCTGGCCCTAGTGCAGAAGTGGGTCCGGGATCTTTTACCATCCCGGGCTCCTGGGACCCGGCCCAGACCGTGGATGTGCTCCTTTCCCCCCCTGGTTGGCATCACCACCGGTCAGTGGCAGAGATCTGCTCCAAGTCCTTAGAGAGCGGGTTCTGAAGCTGGCCTGACCTGGGTTCAAAGTCTGAGCCAGTCGCTTACTGGCTGTGTGATCTTGGGCCCGTTGCTTACCCTCTCTGTACTTGTGTCTTTTCATCTGGGAGATAGGGACAGTCACAGCGCCTGCCTCTTGGACTTGTCCCGAGGGTCAAATGAGCTAATACAGGTGAAGTCTTTTTGTCGATGCCTGGTCGCAGTTAGCTTTCGGTAAAGGGTAACAGTTACTATGCTGTGCAGCCTTAGGCGAGTGCTTGACCTCTCTGTGTCTCAGTGGACTGTATAATGGAGCCAATAGTAAGTACCTACCTCAGATACATTTGTTGGGATCGTGAGGTGGTTAATACGCGGGAAGGGCTTATAGTAGCGTCTGCACTCTGTCTTTGCTGTGATGACAATGGTCGCGGTGGTGGTGACGACCGGAAATCCTTAACGCCTCCTGCAACCAGCAGAGAACCTCTGGGGTAGAGAATGAGATTGGGGATCAGGGACCAACCTTGTCTTTTCTCTCTTGCACCTTCCAGGATGAAATTCCAGGAGGATTTCAACATAGATACAAGCCCGGAGGCGGATACAATGAGGGCCTCGGGGGCCAAGGAAGGTAAGGGGTCAAGGGGCTCCCTTTTCTTTGCCTTCTCGGCCGCCTCCTACAACTTGTCAAGCACGCCCCCATTTCCTCCCCCCGCCCCCGCCGACTCCCCCTTTTCCGGTCCACCAGCAGGTGCGGTGAGTGGGGAGGATGGAGTGTGTGGGTTCTTGGGGGCACAAGGCCGGTCTGGAGCCTGAAAAGCCACGGGGACTGGGCTCCGGGAGCCTGCCCTGGCCCGGCTGAGCCCCCGTGGCCCCTTGTCTCCCTCCCAGGGGCCTGTCCTGAAGCCCTGGCCCGGCAGAGAGAGGCAGCTGGCCGCCTTCTGGAGGTGCTGGCAGATCTGGACAGAGCCCACGAGGAGCTCCAGCAGCGGGAGCAGCAGAAAGCGGCCCTGGGTCCCCTGGGGCACTGAGGAGATGCCAGAGCCAGTCTGGAAGGAGGAGGAAGGGGCCATCGGGCCCCTCTCAGGGCACCCCGGCCCCTCTCAGCTGCCCTGTACCTCGTCGATGCTGTGGCGCGGATGCTTCTGGAGATCTCCCAGTCTCTGTGCCCCAAGTCCAGAACCCCAGGCACGGAAGCCCTCTGGCAGGGGGCTGGCCTTGTACTGAATGAGTCTCAGTCTCTGGGCTGAGGCAGCTGGGAGTGGACGGGAGAGAAGGAGCCTGACTCATCCGGTTCAGCTGAAAGTCTCTGCTAAACCGGACCGGCCTCTACTCGCACCAACAAGGCCATGGCCCCGAGCTGCTGGATACAGCCGGACGTGAATCCCTGATGCCCACGTGGCCTTGTTGCCCAGACAGGCACGAAAGAGGCTCAGCCCTTCCTGTTTTCACGTCTGCTGATCTGCGTCACCTCGCTGATCCTCCTGAGCCCTGCCTTGGCCGAGAGTCCTAACCGCAAGCTTCCAGAATCGGGTTCCCTTAGGAATAATGGGGGCTGGGAGCCCAGTGCGCCAGACTCAGACCCCTGGAGCCTGGGATACCTTGGGCTAGGCTCTTGTCCCCTCTTTGAGCCTCAGTTCATGCTGTATAAAATAAGGAGGGAGTGTCTAGATGTGTGGCTGTCAAACTGGGTTCCACGGAGGTGGCTCGGGAGCCAGGGAGGGGTTTCTCAGACTGTGATCCAAAGCTCATCCCCTAGGTTGTCTGCTAGCGATGCAGATGCTTGGACCCCACCAGCATCTGCTGAATGAGAATCTGAGGGAGTGTGGGTGCAGGGATCAGGATTTTTAACAAGTTTCCCGGGTGATACGGATGAACACAAGATTCGAAGATCATGGGGCCGGGAGATGTTGCATATTAGGGTTTGAAGTGAGATCTTGAGAATGAATCACAGAGGGTAAAATGAGAACACCCACTCTGGGAAAACCGGAAAGGCTTCCAAGGACTCATTTCTGGTTTTGTGTGACTAGAGGGTGGGACAGAAACCAAAGTATATATCTAGGGATAAGGGGGACCGGGAAAGATGCAGCGCTATCCCGAGAGTGGCCAGCAGGTGTCGCCTGGAGCCGCAGCAGCCGCCACAGCCACCCAGCATTCTGGGGACGTTGCTGAGGCTGATTGGAAGCGTGTTGGCAGATCCCGGGCTCTGTCTCTAGACAGAACCGGGCCCTCCTCCCTTAGGGCAGGGGCTGGGGCTCCAGGAGCCGATCACGATATCGCCCAGCTCCTCCGTGTTTTCTCCGAGGCTCTCAGCCCCCCAGCCCAAGTCCCTCATTCCTAGTATTGTACCCGGGAGCTGCTGTGTGCATTGCCTTGGGCTGTGCTAGAGAGAAGAGCACGTTCCGCCCTGTCCTCTTGGGTACCCTCTGCCTCGGCCACCTTCACACCCGCTGCGTACCCGGGGACAAGAGAATTATGGAGACCCTCCAACCCCAGCTGCCCAAGACCGAGAGAGGCAGTGGTCCTGGGGTCATCGTTTTGTTGCAAGCTCCCCGGGAGGGTGGGCCAGAGGCCCCCCAGGAACAGAGCCACCCACCCAGCCCCCGTCTCGGCAGGAAAGAAAACTGAGTGAGGAGGAGAAAGACCATTTATTTCTCCACCCACAGTGGGACGGGTAGGTTTTCCAAAGAGCAATCGCTGGCGTCCCTTTAAATCTTGGCTGACTTCCACCGCGGCAGCCAATCAACAGAGGCGGAGCTGGTGAGTTGCCTGGGCAACAGGCCCCTGGTTGGCCAAGACCATCGGCCACCCCACTGCCCACTCCCAAGAAAGGGAAATGAACTCGTTGCTGTCCGGTCTGCTTTTTTAGACCCGCTGGCCTAAGCTCGGCCTCATCCAGCCTTTGGATCTCGGCGTTGGGAGCGATTTGGCGGAGAGGACAGGATGGGGAGGAAAGGAGAACAGTGCCTTTATCTGGGACAGACATAAGGCCTGGGGACGGGAGGGGAGAAGAAGGAGGTGAGAGTCCCAGAAGGATGAAGAGACACAAGCACAAAACAAGGTCCCTCTAGTCCCCCTCTCTCTGGCCTGCCCCTTTGCAAAACTGCTGACTAACCTGGGGTTCTACCCCCTGGGCCCACAAGTGCCCATCAGTGGGTAGCAGAGGGGGGCCCCTTTCCCCCAGGCGCTTGAGCTGAATCCCGCCTGCAGACAAGCCTACACAGATGTGATAGGGACGCGGGTGGGAGTCCACATGGAGTATCACAGGGGTCTTCTGTCTCTTTCCCCCCAGCCTGGGGGTAAGTAGAGGCACGTGGGTGTGCGTGCGTGTGTTCACCAGGACACGTGTGTTTGCGCGAGGGGGTGGGGCTCTGTCTTTTCCGTAGGGAGGTTACTGTGGTTCCAGTGTTCTCTCCGCCACCCTCTCAGGGAGCTGCGGGTCGGAGCCGGCTGGCCTGCCATCCTCCTCCCATCGTTCCAACCGCCATCAGCCAAATCCCCAGGGCGCTTCTGGCTCCTTCTGCGGGCTCCTCCCCAGCCCTGAACCCGGGCCACCAGGACGCGCCTGGCAGAGGGAGGCAAGTGCCGGACCAGGGGCAAAGCAGGAGGGAAGGTGGGCCGCCCCCGGGCCTCAGGCCTTGGCTGCAGCCTCGGACACGCCCTGGGCTGTGAGCTCGGCCAGCACATTGTCTAGGTAGCTAGCGTCCGGGTAGCCGTGGCCCGTGAGGTTGGATCCAAACTCGGTCTTGTGGTGGATCTCGTTCCACACCACGGTGTCCGACTCGCCTGTGGTGTTGGACGTGCCGATGGTGAAGATGAGTCTCCGCTCCCAGGCGGTGATGAGCAGCCTCAACACCTGGGGGACAGGAGTGGGGACAGGAGGGGGGGTGAGCGGAGGGCGCGGGCAGCCCCGCCCCTGTGGCTGGAGCCCCTCCCGCCCAGCCTCCCTCCTTCCTTGGCCGAGCTGTGGCCCTCTCACTACCTGCTAAGCCCTGCGGCATTCCCACGGGCGCCCAGCCTGGCCGCTTCTTTCCCTAGAGGGACCCCCCGCCCCCTCCCGCCCCGCAGTGAGAGCTCTTTCCAGGCTATCTGCCCGTTTCATCTGGGTCTCCAACTGAAGGCCCTCGGCTGTGTTCACTTGACTACACAGCCATCTTGTGACTTCTTTGGCAATATTCAAAGGCCTGGGGATTTCACGTGAAAATCAGAATTTCTTGCTTCTCTTGAAAAACAAGGGAGGCAGACGATCCGTAGTGTACCAGCTGTGTGATCTTGGGCAAGTTACTTGCCCTCTCTGAGGCTAAGTTTCTTTATCTGTAAAATGGGGTCAAGACCTTGACCTCCTCAAGCTGGAAATGAGCCCAGGTGTGTGAAGCCACCTGGCGGGGCTGGACACGCACTAGGAGGTGATGGTCAGTGTCGGTGCGGGCAGGAAACAGGGATTGGGGGTGAGGGGGGTCCCCGGCCTGCTCCCACACCCCCGCACCCTTCCAGCACCCACCTTCCGGCCCTTCTCGTTGTTGGGCAGGTAGCAGTGACGCGGGAAGCCTCTTGCGGTGAACTTCTTGCCTGGGTTGGGGTGCTCAGGGCCCTGTGGGGGGCGGGCAGCAGACGCTTGAGCCACGGACAGGTGTGGGGGACCTGTGCGGGGTTCCGAGGAGCGGGGGCCAGGGGCACGGGGGCCTCACCTGGATGCCTGTGGGGATGTCGTAGACGATGCGGATGGTCTGGGTGTCGGCGAAGCCAGGCAGCGAGTGCGGGATGAGGTGGAACTGCATCTTCCCGGGCGGCTGGGTGCCCGTCTTCTCTCCGTAGATGGCCTTGCACGTGGGGCACTGCAGGCTGCCGTCCTGGGGCAGGGGAGGCCGGCGGTGAGGCCCCACCCCGCGGCGTCCCGGCCCCGCCCCCTGCCCCCCGCGCCGCCCACCTTGTTGCCATTGGAGTACATGGCCACGAGGCACAGCAGGTGGTACATGTGGCCGCAGCGGCCCAGGCGGCCCACGAGCTCAGGTCGCACGCCCTTGTGACGAAGCACGCCTTCGTAGCCGGATGCTGTGACCAGCCGCTCCATGCAGATGGTGCAGTCCTGACGGAGGGGGCGCAGAGGGGACACTGACGACGGGCCAGGGCACGACACCCTCGGGTCAGCGCTGCCCCTTGGCGGGTGCCAGGCCCCAGGCCACCAAGGGTGGCGGACGGCCCCCTCTCCGGTGCCCCCTTGTCAAAGGGAGGGAGAGAGAGGACACCCCCATACACTGGCGACACATGGCAGAGGTAGAGATGACCCCCCCACCCCTCTCCAGGGGGATTAAGGCAAAACTTAGAACGTTGGGTGGAAAATATGGGTGCAAATAAGGTTCGAAAGCCGTCAACCATCCAAAGATCGGTAAATGTGATTCTATTAAACCTAAGCGTTTCTGTCCATCAGAAGACACTGTGAAAAAGGGAGAAGGCCAAGCCCGAACTGGGGGGGACAGACTGTAACACACGGGGCCACGGCAGGAGAAGGGAGGTCAGGGGCTGGGCCCTCGGTCTGCCCAGGCCAGTACCCTCCGCTGGGGGCTCACCTCATCGGGCGGGTTCTTCACCTTCTGCATGTACCTTCGAACCACATCCTCGGGGTTCTTACCTGCAAGGACACAGCGGGCGGGCTGGAGGGTGCCCAGGGTCTCCACCCTGAGGGCTTGGCTCGGGCGGGGTGGGGGGGCACAGAGGGGTTGGCAGGAGTCACATGCCAGCGGCTGATGTAATCAGAGTTGGTGGCGGAGGGGGTCAGGGGCAAGGGAGCGGAGATCAGGAGACGGAGGTGGAGGCCTAAGTCCTAAGAACACATGGGAGTTGAGGGGTCAGGG